ACCCCAAAACCCCAAAACCCCTTAATGCTAAAATTATTGAATTAAAATATTATAAAAGCTTAAATTTAAATTAGATAATTAGTAATTTCAGTTCCCCACCTAAAATACTTCTATTCTATCAATTGAGAATAAAAGCAGGCCAGTGAGAATTTTTGTACCTTCTTTTTAGTCTATGCCTTGAGGAATTTCAAAAGATGAACCAAGGTTGCTTGAGCATTTTTTGACACCATAAGAGTCTCTGAGGAATAAATCCATTGATTATATCTTTGGTGATTTGCTTCCCTCTTTCTATTTACCGAAAATGAGAATGGAATTAGAGCTGAAGCCAATATTTTGTTGACTCTTATTGATTTAATTGAAGATCATGCCTTTATCAAGAGAAATAATAAAAGCTTCAGGATCAACAAAAAACTATTCTTCCTCGCCATGCTATTTATAAAATGGAATTGAAATGTAGGCACCAAATCTTCCAATAATTTCATTATCATAATTTCTTTTTGCACGAACAAGTAGAAGTAATTTTTTCTTGCCATCTAACTTATTTATAAGTTGCTAGTTCTTTATTTAGCTATCTCCTTCAAAGATTTTTTGAAAGCTACTTTTCTTGCCTAATCTCTCTCTGATTTAATTAATATCGCAGGGTTGAACTATTTCAGACACTGCAAAACCAATATTACTATTTGGAAGGATGTATTCATCATCTAAGTTTCTATTGATTTACTATATCTGCTACTGCTGTTTTGGTTTAATATCATTTCTTTGAATTTAATCAGCATTTTTATTTTAAAAAGGCTTCATCTGGTCTTACTCTTATCTTTATTTGGGCTATTTATGTTCCTCAAAGCGATATGATAGAGGATTCTTATTCATAATGCTATTGAAACATAATATCCATCCTCTAATCACTTTTCTCTTATTCTACTTCTAATTCTTGCAACTTCTTAGCAATCTCCATGTCATCATTAAATTGTTTTCTTCTTGCTCCCACTACTATTTCTCCCATTAATATTTTATCTATCTATCTTTTTCCAAGGCTTCTCTCTCGACTTTTTGTCTATTTTCCATAAAGATCTAAAATAACTCATTCTCTTCTTTTATCTTTCTTTGCTACTCTTCTTTCTAAATCTTTTGTTCTTAATTACTTTCAAACGATCTTCTCCCTTATAAAACTTACAAATCTTTTTAAATTTCTCCTTCGCTTGCATAGAATGAATCATCGAATTATTAAGCCGAAAAGTGCGAAATCTTATGATAATTTTATTATCTTATTGAATCTTTGCTTAAATTGTTCATTCCACTTAGTATTGCTCTATTTTCGAATATATTTCTTTAAGTCTCAAACTTATGAAAATCTTTTAACTAATTATTGAAGCATTTAATTTGCTGTATGGATTCTTCCTCTAGTTTAGCAATTTTATCCTCCTTAGCAGCAAGTTCTTGAACTAATTGCTCTATCTAGTTTGCCATTCCTAAATTATTTTACTTCAGTTCTCAAATTTGTCTATCATAAGATGTAAATTAATTCTGTGACATGTTGATAACCTAATCACTTTCTGCCTTTAATTCTTTTATTTTTTCATTCAGTTAAGTAATTTATTCGTTTTTTTCTTCTCTATCTTTGGCAAGTTTCTATATTTCTTAACAATATCCAATAATTTTATCTTCCAACTCTTTTATTTTTCTTCATAATTCTTCCTGATAGTAAATATCAGCATTATCTTAGTTCTTGAGATTTGCACTAGCTAAATCTTTTCTAAGATCTTTGATTTTTTCAATATGTTTAACCTAATTAAACTTTGTAGATATTAATTATTCTGCTAATTATTTATTATAGATTTCGCAGTTTTTTATTTTTACCTCTAAATTATAAATTTACTCTTTAAGCTTTATAGTGAAATCATTATCCAACTCGATCTCCTATGGTTAAGCTATTTCTTAGATTTAATCTTAATCTTAAGACGATTTAATTGGACTAAAAGATTTTTTGAAAATAATTTCAAGCTCTTTTTTTCCGATGATTGAAATGTGAAGCATTTGAGAAAGATATTCCATACAGTCTCGCAATTGAAAGTTTTATAAATTTTCTATGAAACTTTTAAAGGAATCTTTTTTAGACTAATCATCAATACTATCCCATGATTATCCTTAAGCAAAGCAATACTAGATAAGGAGCAATCCTTGAGCTTGTTTTAAGTCAATTTATTTAATTAATTTCTTTGATTAAGGGAGATTTTATGGATTCGACCTTGGGCATTCTAAATAAATATATGTTGCACATTTCTTGATCTCTGAAAACTACTTTACTATCTTTTCTATTTAGAATCAATATCCACTTGGGTCAAAGATTTCTATCTCATCTGAATCCCTTGGAACAATACTTTGACATCTAACATAGACCAATAAGCAAACATGATCCTCAGTAATGTAATCTCCACCAATTCTTCCAATACTTTTAGCCTCTTCTAGATGTTCATTGAACTGATTGTCAAGTAAGTCTATGTATTTAGTTTTAGGTTCCATTTTTGTGTTGTGATTAATTCTGGTTACTTTGAATTTCTGTTAGACTAGATATTACTCTAGCAAATCTCCATTATTTTAGCTTGCTGATAAGTTTATCATTTGGAGATTCTTAGTATATTGATTAAATTCAATAATGACGGCAAGCTTCAAAATCTTATAATGAGTAGTTTGCATTTATTTTCAAATATAAATAATTTTTCAAAATATTATTAATTTAATATAAACATAAACTATTTTTGATCAATATTTAACAAGCGGGGTTTTGGGGTTTTGGGGTTTTGGGG